GTCATCAACCGTTCACTTTCTCAATTTCTTTTATGAGAATCCATTTTTTTGTCATTTTAAGGTTATAATTCCACTAAAACTTCAAGAGTTAATGAGAGGAAAAGTCAATAAGAAGACTTTTAGTGAGAAAAAATGACAATAAAAAACAGGTTTTAGGAAGATAAATGATGGCGATTAACATTGCACTTAAATTTTTGTAGACTGTAGCCAGCAAGGATGCAAGAAACCGGAAGAAACTTTCCCATGCCGGAAGTGCGAGAAAAGAAACGAACAGAATAGAACTTACGGTTACATCTAGCTAATTCAACATTAAAACGATGAACTCGAGTTACCAATCTAGCAATACGGTTAAATTCATCCAGCCCAGATCCCAAGAAGGAGAGCACATGGAAATAATTATCATGAAATATTTATGGAACAGACAAAAGGAAGCCACATTTCGGAGTCACTGTATTCACGATGACATGTCAGGACGAAAATACCATTTTTACTTTGACGAGAATCTTGAGATATATTACCGGAGCACCAAACCAGATATTGTTACAATGTTCACTGCACGGACGAATTTCAGATTCTATAATTGTGGAAGGTAGATTAGTAAATAGAGACTCTGATGCACCTTCTTGACTAACGCGATAGTTTCGTATATTGAAGTGTAAATTAACCAAACACAGATGACTTCAGTTTGACCGCAGTAGATGATTTGATCGATAGGGGACTTAAATGTAATACCAGCAAATTAAAAAAAAAAACCGGAATTTGCCAAACACATTTTGATAAACTGAATATTTACTCGAAATTATTGATAACGAGCTTGGTGATAGTCGAAAATACATGAAATGTAACAAATATGAACTTTAGAAGGTGAATAATAATAATAATAATAATAATAATAATAATAATAATAATCTGCAACTTCTACGGGAAGGAAACTGAAAGAAACTGGTATGAACACCACCCAGATCCGGTTACGGAGATAGGACCTGTTACAATTCTATGGGATTACACAATACACACTGACA